GGCCGGGGATTTAGCTCAGTGGTTTCACTGCCTGCTGTGCAAGCACAAGGACCCGAGTTCGATCCCTGGTACCAAAAAAAAAAAAAAAAAAAGATATTTATGTGGAAAATGGATTATTGGGCCAGGGATTTAGCTCAGTGGTTCTGGTGCCTGCCTTGCAAGTGCAGGGTCCCGAGTTTGATCCCTGGTACCAAGAAAAAAAAAAAAACACACACACACACAAAAAGAAAATGGATTATTATCACTGTATTTCCTAGATTATAAGAGGCTATTATTTATAAATAACAGCATAAATTAATAGCTTTTTGGTAAAAGAAGAAACGCTCCCATTAAGTCCATAGATAAAAAGGGGATGGGGCCGGGGATTTAGCTCAGTGGTTCTGCTGCCTGCCTCACAAGTGCAAGGACTCAAGTTCGATCTCCAGGACAAAAAAAAGGGGGTGGGGAATGACTGAGGATTTAGCAAGTGCAAGGTCCTGAGTTCAATCCTCAGTACTGGAAAAAAAAATGGGAAGAATGCTAATTCTTAAAAATAAAGAAATACTATTTCCATAAAATCAAGACATTACACAAGCACTCTTAGGATACTCTTTGGTACTCTTACATGTCTTTTTCTTTCAGTTCCTTTAGTGGCTCCTTTAAAGCTTCTTGTTCACATTCAGTACTGTGAGAGAGAAAGTAAGAAAAATACTTTGTCAGCACTTTGTTACTACTAAATTGATACAGGGAACTAGCTTATCAGGCCAGTGTGAGAAGCAATGGGAAGGACACTAAGCTCAGAAGTGGAAAGTGTGGGTTCTGGTTCTGGCTCTGCTGTTAACTAGCCACTAGTTTTCTGCCATGTCTGGGCCTCAGCTCCTCTCTGGAGACTGAATAAATGTTCTCTAAGGGTCAGCCCAGCCCTAAAATCAGCCAGTGACTCTGACAGCAAGTTCCCAAGAAAACCAGCAGGGGACAGGAATGTCACTGGAGGTGGATGCTGGAGCAAGGGGCACAGCCTTGAGGCTTTAGCAACTGTGAGACAGCTTCCTGGTACAGAGTCCCAGAGAAGACCAAGAGAGGCTTGTACCAGAAAATGGCCAGAAAAGAATACTAAAGACAAAATTTGACCCATTTCTACTTTCAATAATGTTGAAAATTCAATTTCAATACTCATAGGATACTAACTATAAGCCAGATCCCATGGTAAAACGGTCCATATATTTTCATATTTTTAATCCCTACAACAATCGGGTGAGCCAAATGATAAAAAGAATGAATACAGATTTGGGGTTGATTCATGACTTTATCCTTTTCATCAATATACTTGTTTCTCCTTAAAAGCTTATAGAATACTTATTTTTTGCTCCTGTTAATTACATCAATTGCCACAAGACTTGTTTTAACCAATGAAAGTGATGCTGCCTAGAAACTTTAAAAGCCAGTGCACAAGCCAACAGGCTCCATTTTTTTCCTGCCCAGAAATCAAGGAAGCCCAAAGACGGATCCTTCCTCAACCTGTATCTGTGATAGAATATAGTAGAGAACATCCTTAGCCAAACCAGGAGCTGCAGGCAAGGATTATGAGAAAGAAACAAACATTTAGCCAGGTGTAGTGGCACATGTCTGCAATCCTAGAAAAATGGGTAGCTGAAGCAGGAGGATGGAAAGTTCAGTCCCAGTCTGGGCAATTTAGTAATTTAGCAAGACTGTCTAAAAATAAAAACATTAAGAAGGGCTAGGAATGTGGGGTCAATTCCCAGTGCTTAGAAAAAGAGAAAGAGAGGGCCGGGGATTTAGCTCAGTGGTTTTGCTGCCTGCTCCACAAGTACAAGGACCTGAGTGATTCCTGGTACCAAAAAAAAAAAAAAAAAAAGAGGGAGAGAGGGAGAGGGAGAAGAAGAGGGAGAAGGGGGAGAGGGAGAGAGGGGGAAAGAGAGAGAATTAATTTTGTTGTTTTTAAGCCATTAAAATTTGAGGTTTTGAGCCACATGTGGTGGTGCATGTCTGTAATCTCAGCACTCAGGAGGCTGAGGCAGGAGGATCACCTCAAGTTCGAGGCCAGCCTGGGTTACATAGTGAGTTCAGGGCCAGCCTGAACTACAAAGGGAGACCCTGCCTCAAAAATAAATAAATAAATAAATAAACCACAAAATTGAGGTTTTGGGTTATGCATTATCTATTCCATTCTAAATGGCTGTGTGATCTTAGGAAAAAATATTTAGGCTCTTTGACTTTTACTTTTTCAATTGGCAAAATGGTGAAAACTGTACATATATCTCAGAGGGTTGTTACATGGAGTACATAATATACAAAGTGCCTGACATATGGTAGATATTGAAGAGTATCAGCTATAGTTATTATACTTAAGGAAACTAAGGCCCAGAAGGAGAAAGTAATTTAATGTTATTGAGCAAGATATTTTACATCTTTTTTTTTTTTTTTTTTTTTTGGTACTGGGGATCAAAGTTGAGACCTTGTGCTTTCAAGGCGTGTGGCGGAACCACTGAGCTAAATCCCCGGCCCTAAATCTATTATTTTTAATTAAACATCTGAGATAATTGTGGATTCACATGTAGTTGCAAAAAAAAAAAATACAATTTACCCAGTTTTTCCCCACAGTAACATCTTCCAAATCTAAAGAACAGTATTACCACCAGGATGTTGACAATGAAAACAGACAAGATTCAGAACATTTCCTCTAGCTCAAGATTCCCTACAGTGATCATTTATAACCAGACTACATTTACCTGTTCTTTGTTTCTATAATTTTATCATTTTCAAGAATGTTATATAAATTGAATCATACAGCAAATAAGTTTTGGGGATTGCCTTCTCCACTAAACATAATTCTCTGGAGATTTATCTATCCAGGTTGCTGTAAGTATCAATAGTTCTTTTTTGCTCCTCAGTGGTGCTCTGTGGTACGGATGTACCACATCATTCACATGATGAAGACATCTGGGTTTTTTGTTTGGGGCTATTACAGATACATTTGAGAAAAATATTTAGATATGTGGTTTTGTGTGAATGTTAAGTCTTCCTTTCTCTGAAATAATGCCCAAAAGTTACATTATTACTTTTAATTCCTTTGTAGAATTTCTGAGTGAGGGTTCTTATCCCTATTTTACAGAGGAGGAAATAGAGTAGAGAGGCAAAGACCTGTGACCAAGATCACACGGACAGAATGACAAAGTCAGTTCTTCAATATAGACAATGACTCCTTTTCATTCTCCTTCAAATTCTGCTGAATGAGTCCTAACAAAATTAGGCTTCCTGGGCCAGGGATTTAGCTCAGTGGTGCCTTGAGTGCCTTGCAAATGCAAGGTCCTGAGTTTGATCTCTGGTACCTAAAAAGTTAGGCTTCCCAAAGTTAACTTTTAAAAAGACAGCGGCTCCCATTTAACACTGCTTTTGAGTATAAAACTGTGAATAAGATTATAAATGCCCATACCTTTGTAAAGATTGGGACCTGGTGAACATCTCAGTGTTCTTTCCAAGAATTTGTTTCATTTGGAACTTTTCCTCACCTGAAATAAAGAAAATTATTTTACTAAATTTTTCCTAAACCAGATTATATTTCCATGCCCTAGAACGGCAGAGGCAAGGCTACGGCATGTGTGTAGCAGTGGACTGCTTGTATCATTGAAAGTTCTAAAAGGTTTGCCATCACTGCCCTAAAATTTCCCTTGGTCTGGTCTAGAATGAGAAATAATTTGGATTAAAAAGTGCTTCCTTAATTGGGTTTGGACTGAATGCTCTGGAGGTTTTTGCTCTGAAAGTTTATTTTCCTTGCTCAGAGGACAGGACTATATTCTGACACTCAGAATACAATCAAGTCATTCACTAGCCTTTCCGTTATAACCACACAGTTATTTCTGGATACAAATGTTGCTTTATCTTTCCTTTCTTTTTGGTAACGAGGATCGAATTCGGGTCCTTGTGCTTGCGCAGCAGGCGGCGAAACCACTGAGCTAAATCCCCGGTCCCTGCTTTATCTTTTCAATAAGGCCAACTGACCCAATTTCTGTCAACAGACACTAGAGGGCGTTAAAACCAAGAGCGTTCGTTCATTAAAGATTCCAAATAGGGGCCTGGGATTTAGCTCAGTGGTTCTGCCGCCTGCCCTGGGATGAAGTGACTGTGACTGCCCAAGGCTGTGCAGAAAGTCAGTGGAACAACAGGGCTCGGAACCCAGCCTGCATCCACTGTACCGGTTACAGCTCTGGCTGCGGAAGAGAATATATACCAGAGCCCTGGAGGGGGCTGGGACACAAAGTAGAAATGCAAGGCTTTCGCCTACTTCAAATGTTTGCATGGGACTGGCCCTGGGTTTCTGACCTATCTACGTTACCACCCCTCCATCCCAGTCAACCTCCTCCACACCCAAGTAAGGCGCCCATGTTCACCCCAAGCCCACAGAGAGCGACCATGGATAGAGCCTCTGTGGGAAAGGGTGAGTGCTCCAAGACCCTGGAGACTTTTAGCACACAGCCTGAGAGTGTAACTGTTCATCTCAAAGCTTGCAGATTCTTAAAATGCTCCTAACTCCGACAGGGGACTGAATGATGTTAGAGTTGGAAGCTGGAGTGTGCACTGGAAGCAAGGGAGTAAGTTCAGAACCTCCTGCATCTGAGTTCAGAGGGTTGAGATATGACTGAGAACATCTACATAGACTCTTAGGTAGATATCTATGGTTTAATAAAAGCATGGTTCTATACCTGAAAAGAGTAAAAGCACACAATTATTAAAATGTCTGTATTGCCGCCTGCCTCGCAAACGAAAGGTCCCGAGTTCTATCTCCAGTACCAAAAAAAAAATGTTTGTAAGACAGCCAACAATCTACTTCTATGTTGTCTTGTGCCACATCCCTGATCTAGTGTTGTCACATACGGAAAGCTCCTGCTAGTTACATGGGACTGAAAGTGTCCAAAGGGTGATGGCAGGGGGGAGGGGGTGACAGTGTTAGGCTAAATCTGCACTATTGGCTGTTAACCCTATGATAAAGAAAGATACTAAGGGCCAGGGATTTACCTCAGTGGTTCCGCCACCTGCCTCGCAAGTGCAAGATCCGGAGTTCGATCCCCAGTACCAAAAAAAAAAAAAAAAGATACTAAGCAAGGAAATGAAAACTCTGGCTTCTGAGGTGGAGAAAGACATAGTAACCAAGTTCTGGTTTTTGTTGTTCAATAACTAGCTCTGTGGCTTGAGTAAATTCCTCAGGTTGCTCAGTGAAGGTAACTGTCCATTGCTGTGTGTCACTAAGGAGGCTAAAATTTAGTGAGACTAGAGGGTGGGAAAAACAGCTACTACAACACATACCATATAAAACACATGGGGGTATACATAACACAACCTGTCAATATCATGAAGCTGGTGAGACATGGCTTCATTCTAATGAGGGGAGATCACTGAAACTGAATTTTCTCACGTGTACAATGAAAGGCTGAGACAAGATCTCTAAGGACCCTGTCAGCCCTAAATTTATCTGTGATCCATCAGAAAGTGAAGCCAAGTGATTCTCAAAGGAATCTTCCCTAGGGCTTACCATAGCCTTGTGGTTGGGCAAATGCACCTTCTATTCCTTCAATGTTCTCTTCTATAGGACTTGAGGTCTGTAAAAGAATGAAAGAAAGGAAGGGGGCAAAGAAAGGAGGTTCACTGAAGGAAGACATATGAAAAATTTGAGGGAAATGTGGGACTGCATAACTCTGTAATCATAAAACTCCCCTAGCCCCAACTGTGATTGAATGTGAGTAAATTGATAAAGATGCTTGTTAGTTCCGGGACACTAGATAAGATCTGTATCAGCCATAAGGTCCCAAAGTAAATTATTCAACTCTTTGTTCAAAAACTGATGTTCCAGACACCGCTATCTATAAAACAATCTACAAAACATGTGCTGACCATCAGTACATGTCAGGCTAATTAACACGCAAATGTAAGACCACTAACCTTTGTTCCCTCTTGTGTAAATTTCGCCTGTTAACTTCCCTGCAACCCCCTATAAAAAGAGCCTAGCCTCGACTCTGGGCTGATTGCCTCTCTAAGCTACTTTGCTTTGGGAGTGCTGTCTGGCCAGACTAAGGTCTGTTTTACTTTCCAACTTGTCTGGTGTGTTCCTTCCCGGGTGTTCTTCGCTG